GCGATCTTCTGTGTAAACTAGGTTCTGCTGATGAATTCAGTCATAAAAATGTAGTCTGCACAAATAAATGCTTCATATTTTAAGTTATCATGCGGATCTTGGGATTAACATATTTCATTTGCATCCCTACAATCAGAGCTCTTCGTTTTTGAGTGCAACCTTGATCCAAATCACTATCCCTGTCTGAGCATCAGGTTTTAATTGACACAAATTCTGGTGCCAAACCCCTTGTGCATCGGTTTCAAACCGATCTGACTGGAATTTCCAACATGCTCATATGAATAATACAAAATAGTACCCGTTATAAGGATAAAGTGAAAGAAATATCAAATAGCGATTTATTTTTCAAGGGCTGATACTTGAGCTGGCTGTGAAACGCACGGATATTGTATCTATGTTAGAGTTAACAATTACTTTTGGCCTACAATGCGATTCGATGATAGCCTTTACTCAAATGTTATTCTGGGCTTTCATTTTCTCAAGTATAGTTTCAATTTTTTTTACTTGTTATTTTGCCTTGATTTTGTTGATATTTCAGCCTTACTTCCAAAGGCCTCTGGCCCTCACTACAATTACCTTTGCCGGCCCACTCGAGAAAACAGTTTTGTAACTCAGGGGCAGGCGGTGCACGGTGACACAGACCCCCAACCCCAGCTTTCTGGACGACGTTCTTTGGCGGATGCCTGTCGTCCGGATACCCTACGTCAGAGCACATTTAACAGACTCTGGGCCAATTGCTGCTGGTTCCTCAATCAAGGTCACTCTTTAGGCAGCTATTGTGCTTTCTGATACTTCCAGCATAATACAACCACGTCCCGGCTAGTACCAATTTCGTCCAAATTTACATATGACCAAAGTTCAAATTGGGTCATTATCCATCATTTTGAACGGCAACCGGCCTCCTAGTATGCCCTGTAGCCGAATAGTTAATACTGGCAGAATGTGTCTACCTAATTTTGTTTGCATTCGGTCGGAGTGGGACTTAGGATTACAAGCAAACCATGATGGGCATAGAAGTAGAGTGTGACTGATTCACTATTGGTACATAAGTAGGCCAAATATTCACTTCGAATTGCCGAAAACTGGTATACGCAATCATGATTATTCTGGGCACCGATTTCCCCTAAGAGCTGGCCTTTATGGCTATAGTTTACTGAAATTATCGTCAATGGTGTATTCTGGACCATAAAATATCTTTATTTTTCTTGAAAAGTAAAGGAAAAGACCGTCCCAAAACAGCCACTAGCAAATCTACCAGTAGGAAAACAGGGTGGACAGATTGGCTTCCAGAGTAAACTGATCCAATTGATGTCCTCTGAAACTTGGATTTATTAGATAAGAGATTTTGTTATTCTGGGTTCCTTAAGATGATGAAGAACTAATACTGAATTTTCCTATTATGAGATGAGTGGGCATCACGAGGCAATTAAATTTCATTTCGATCAGGTATTTTCATCAAAAGTGGGCCGCAGTCTCGACCTCGCTCGGGTCTCATCAACATTCTCAACGGGATTCTAACCCAGGTTCTGGTAATACTGTGTATAATTTAGAATGCCAGTCAGGCTCTTCTTATATCACACTTTATTGTTGGGTTTTCGCTGAAGCATCAATTTGATAAAAATAAAATCGGATTTATAGAGTGTCAATAGATCTTTAATAAATAACCTAGGGCGACTAAAACTGTTATCCAATATCTACCAATAATCTCAAAATCCAACTTAATTCGAATTCCAGTAAAATTGTCGGTTTTAATGACAAACACCTGTTTGCCTTAGTTACAATCCCATTATTAAATGTGATATAGAAGAGGGCTTATTTGATTTGAAGTTCCCTTTTACCCTGAGACCGACTGTCACTCGTGGGAGTGTTTGAAAATTGTAGGTTTCACTACCAGAAACCGGGATTGATTATCATTTGGAGTACTTAAAAGTCTTACTCAGGAAGTGTAACTGTCGGAAGATGCTCTGACACTGTATAATGATTCGTATGCGACTGCATTTGCAGTCCGTACCCTATGATGCGCTACGAAAAAATAGCCGTTGGGTGCAAGTAGTAGATATGGAAACTTGAATGAGAATCCGAGTTAATCTAGGTCTTTTATGGTGATGCATGGAGGGAAAATAGAATCGCTCGCAATTTAACGAGTAGGCTCTACGTTACAAAATCTCGCCTGCGTTTATGATTTAGCAGTTGGGAGATTTTATCTACGAGGTATCACGCTCTGATTAGCGATTAAGTCGATTACTTAAGGCAGTAAAGGGACATTATTTTATCTTGTGATGAACCAAAAGAGCAGGGCTCTTCGAATTATGTACTCACAATACATTTGATATGAAAATGCAATTTCAGTTAAAATTTAACCTCAGTGTGTAACCTGGTTGATTGTTTCATTGAATTTAAGGACATCCGTTTGGGAGAAAAGTCTATTAAGAAGTTCGATCTTACCAATGCAAACTAGTACAGCATGCCTAATTTTACTTTCTTTTTTTCCGCACGATCCTCTAGACCGAAAGGAGATGTTGTCTCCCGATCTAAACATTTGCTTGGGTCCAAAGGATGCGCCAATAGTCTCGCGCGATTCCATCTCACAAGAGGTTTTAGACGCTCTGGAAGAAGGCGGAAAATGGCTTGACTCATTCATGCCGTTTCAGAATGTACTGGATCTTTGTGTTCCCCAGACTGAACCTTTCGGCCAGCCTCGTGGATATCTACTGTAAGCGGTCTTTATACTTCATATTTGCATATATAACCTCAGCCCAATAAGCATTTTTTCAGTAATATATCCCCATTAAGTCGTGAGCTCGGCTGAAAATCGTAGTCTTTGGAGCGCCTTACTCGTTTAGACACAGTTCCGCCGTACTTTTAACGCAGTTGCCTTTCGCCTGTATTCATTATTCGTTCTTGGGATGGAGTTCATTCCGTGTGAAAGTATGTTCTTGAGAACTTTATATATTAATCTGACTAGGAGATGACAATGGATCCTCTTTGATCTTCTGTCACCTGCTTTTACTCAGACGTTCTCCCCCTTTCGGGGACACTTAAAACATTTACAAATAAAGATATGAAATGATTTGATTATTTAAATGTTCATTTTTTATGCGCTTTCGTCCGTGTTTGTGCCTCTTTGTGCGTACGTATGTGTGCATGCGCGTTTTCATGTGTTTATAATTTTGTCTGGATGTGTGTATGTTTGTGAGTACGAGTACGAGTGCTAAAACAATAGTAATAATTCTGAGTCTTTAGAACAGACATTACATCTTTTCCAAGTCATCTAGAGTTTAAGGACTCTTATTTTCTGCAAAATACTGGAATCTCCTTGATAACTGTCTTTATTCCCCAGTTTCCTATAAGCTTGTCCTTCTTTGTCGTGAGAAGGCGCATCATGGGAAATTTGTAACAAGAAATTTTATCAATCGCCATATTAACCTCTAAATTTTTCCACATTCCTTATCATAAAATGATTACTTGTCAGCTTATTTATCTAGGTCCAGTTTTTCTCATTCTCTCTATAGCATAATGCCTTCAGAAAGAGTTAGTCAGCATAAATCATATACACAAATTTATTCATTCATCCAACCTTTCATTTAATAAAAAAACCTCATCGTGACTTCGCCACCTGCGAACTATCTGGTAATGGACCCGGAAAATGGTCCGATGCTGAAAAAATGCAATAATAATGCCAGAATACACACTAACAGATGCTCTTCTCGTAGTCGTCTTGATACATAATATATGTCAGATTGGATAGGATGAGAGTTTCAACATGAGACAGTCCACAAAAGGATTGGTTTTGCCTCA